CTGCCGCGAGGGAGAAAGTAGCAGCTCTCTGTTCCTGATAAAATTTACAGGCTCAGAAATGCGAAGGGGAAGTTCTACTCTGCCCTCTGGAGTCACTATGAGTCTAAATGGAATGGAATTGATGGTCGTGAGTTAGGTAGTTTATTATCCATATACTTAGAAAGAGACAGTGTGCTCACCTTTCTCATTTTAATACCTCCAATGCTCTAATGCTCTTTAAGGGCTGAGATTTTTTTTTTCTTCATGTAGTTTCATGACACGTTTCTTTCCTCCTGAAGTTTCTAGGACAAGTCTACACACATTTGCTGTTAAGACATCGTTGTTGAATGAATGAAGCTGCCTGCAAATCTGATGGGCGAGGACCAGTCACACTGGAAAAGACACATAATGGATCAGAAGTCTATGGCAGAATCTTCAAACCTAATGATGGGTTTCATCCCACGGAGATCAATATAGCCACCTTTTTATTGAAGTAGATAAGTTTAAAGACAAAACTCTACTCGTAAGGAAAAGAGCCACTCCAACTGTCCTTAAACAACAAAAAGGAGGGCTAAGCCCCACTCAGTCCCTAAATGGATCATCCCCCTAAAAAGATCTATCCAGACACCCTTGTAAATAGCAGACAGCTGTATAACACAATGTAGGCACCTTCCTTCTCCTTTACAAGAAAATAAAAAGCTCAAAATAAAGAATTTTATTTTTATTTTATTTAATTAAAAAAATCATTTTAACAGCATTTTTCTCTAGCTAAAATAAAATGTAATCTTTCTAAACATCCACTGATGGGGAGAATTGAGGAGAAAACAAACACACCGAGGAAATTTTCAATAATCGTGATTGTTTGCCATTATCACTAACACCAAATCTGGCTGCTACATACAGATGAACCTCACTCACAGAAGGAGTTGAATTAGGTGAGCATTTTGTGCTTTCTCTCACCAAAAAGGAAATGTTAGGTTCTCAATTAGTATTTAATTAAAATGACCTGTAGAGGGCGTCCTTGCACTAAGAGCCATAAAAGTTTAAGCACTAGTAAGAGGGGGAAGCATCTATTCTGTTGTGATTTTTTAAAACTGTCTAATGGCATCACAACATTAAGAGTGCTTTAAAGATTGCCTGATATAGCTGCATAGATCCTGTACGCTTGAAGCGAAGTAAATATGTTCTATTTGTGTGTTTAGGGGAAAATGGCTGTGAAGCTTTGTATGCAAACAGCTGTAAGTGTAATTTCTTTGCCATACAGCTAAGAATGGGCTCTAAAATAAGAGGCCCTGCCTCTGCTGCTTGTCAGCTGAGTAACCACAGTCCTGCTACCTAACCTTTTTGAGCCCTGTTTCTTCATCAGTAAAATGAGAGACATACTAAGTCAAGACAACAGCAAAACCAACCCACCACCATCAGGTCGATTCTAAACTCATAGGAAACTAAAAGCAAATTCACGGCCATCGAGTCAGTTGTGATTCATGACAATGGTACCGGACAAAGTAGAACGGACCAAGCGGGATTCTGAAGTCGGACCTCTTTACTGGACTAGAAAGCCTTGTCTTTCCCCAGAGGAGCGGCTGGTGCTTTTGAACTGCTGACCTTGACCTTCGCAGCCCAATGTATAGCCGCTACACCATCAGGGCTCATCTCACTGTCATCGACTCGATGGCAGCGCTGACCTTTCAGATCGCAGGGCTCCTCGTAGTACCTACTTCAAAGCGGGGGTGTCTCTGGGTCTGCAAACGGTTAAGTGCTGGACGACGACGGACCCAAAGGCTGGGATGCCCCCAGAGGCACCTCGGCAGACTGGCCTAGCAATTTCCTTCTGCAAGGTCACAGCCTTGCAAGCCCGGAGGAAACGCTTGACCTCGTGCACATCTTAGGCTCACCAGGGCTGGGTCTGCTCACTGGCAACTGTCGGCAGTCCCTGGCTGATGGATGAAATTGGCTCCTAAATCTGTCTTTAAGTAGAATTTATATGTAAACTGGAACAGTTAGGCATTGTTCGTAACTAATATCAGTTAATCAAACATTTGCCTTAGTATACAGTATATGGTGTAGCTTTCAATGCATTAAAAAACCCATGGAAGCAACAATGAAAACAACTTTAACATAATAATACAGTCATCATAAGAATAATGTTTTGATATGGTTTGTAGTCTGTTTGTTATCTGGAACCTTTGTAAGAGAGGGGCTTCAACAGGTCCAGGGGAAAACTCCATTATTTTAAAATTCCATTTTCCCACAAGGCTTTCATTTTAATACACTAGGCTTTTAGGGGGTTGTTTTCTAAGTCTGGGGCTGTCCATAGGCAGACATTTGTAACCCAGGGACGCCCAGTGACAGGTTAAAGGAGACACTGAAGTACTTTAAAAGTATTTTAAAGATGAGGATGCTGCAAATTTCCAGCAATCATCATTCCCCAGGCTAATGCCCTTTACAAACCAACAGCTGTATAACTGAAAAGATTTCAGGATTGGAAATGTGTTTTCAGTTCGTTTTAATAACCGCTATGACCTAACATTTACTTCCCTTCATGGACATGTCCAGTTTCTCTTCTGTTGTATTTGTTTGTTTTCTCTTTGGGGTGCCCATTAGTCTACAAAGGACGCAAAGAAACACCACGCCTAGCCCTGGACACTCAATCCGTGGGGCATTTGTTGAAGCAACTGGGTGGTAAAGAACAAAGAGAAGTAAACAAACCTTTTCTTAGGCGGAAAACTTATCAAGGTTTTGAAAAACCTTTTGCTTCTAATTTCTTTGTGCATCCAAGGAATCAGGCAAACATCAAGGCCAGGGTCTGGGTCTTCCCCTCAAGAAGCCTGGGATTTCGGTACTTATGAATGCATCCAAGTTTCTTGAAACACCAGCTATAGGAAGATATTAATGACTTTGATGAGCCCCACACCAGGGGTTCAACTAGTGGTATCCTTGAAGTGGGTGTCACCCAGCACACTAATGGTGCCACATGCCCCATCCCCCACGGACTTCTTTCTGTCCATACAGCGGACCATACAGAATCCTCAGTAATATATTTTTTGTATTGTTATCCATAAATCATAACTTCCATATGTCACTGAATGAAATGGCAGTAAGTAGTGCTATAAACAACTAGCAAAATTAAATTTTTAATATGGCACCACTTTTTTAAAAACCACAATTCAAATTCAAACTCTGAAATTTTTACTAAAACCAGATGTATATTTGCAAGACAATGCTTTCTTTAAAGATGCTTTTTAAAAGACTAAAATTTTTCAAAACCCAAATTTAAGATTTAAATTATACTTGCAAACATACATCACAAGACAGCTATTTCCCTCACTTTGTGTTTTAAACTATCATTTTCTTATATAATTGATAAGTGTTATACAGGTTTGTTATTATTTTCATCATAGAATATGCGATAAATCTAGTTGTAAATTGTTAAAATGCAACATTTCTTAGGTTATATGAATACTAACAACAAAAATGTTTTGTAAAATCTCCTCCTACATTGAATATAATTCGTTCAAACACTTAATAACTGAGAAGTCTTTAAATTTCCCCCTCCTTTTCCTTTAACTGAGACTTCATTCCCCAAAGAATTGTAGCGAAAACACAATTAAAAAAAAATAAAGTCAGCAACTATAAACAACCCCCCCTCTCCCTGCCCAGCAACGAAAATAACAGCAAGTCCTTGTAAGGGGTGCAGACAAAACCATGTGACTAGAGGCACCATTGGAATTGGGTAATAATGACAGCTCTGGCGGGCGTGCGTGAACAAGTTCAAAAAGTAGCATGGCAGAATTTAGCCTTTGTGAGTGTAGGGATTGATACATGCCAACCCGGCGTGCAAAAAAAGTTACCGTTAACTACAGGGACTTTTAAAATTAAAAACCGGCACAGCATTTTTATAGGCAGTCATTTGGTGTCACCCTCTCTGGCAGTGACAGTGCAGTCCGCACTCCCTGGGGACGCCG